TTTGACTGTTTTCCCTTGTGGGTAATCTGTAACTGCTGCAATTACATAGCACTAACTAGTAAAATAATGAGACTTAACTAGGAGCTGGGATCTTTGGTCCTCAGCACTGCGTCCACTGTTTGTGAGCTCTGTGGTTAAAACTACTTTGCTCTGCAGGTCTTTCCCTGTGGAGGGAGGGAGGAAGGGGGGCTCCTGAGGACCTGGCATAAGCAGCATCCTCAGGCAAAGCTTTGGGATGAGGCTCCAAGGCTGAGCACCAGCGATGCCTCCACATTGCACACTGTGATGGTGCTTGCTCTGTGGGGAGATGGTGGGAACACAGAACAGCAAAATAAGAGCTGAGAATAAAATCCTCCATAGAAACAGACAAAAGCATTGGCCTTGGCCTGGTGAGGTGAGTCCCAGGAGATCAAAGCTGTTTAATGAGAGAGCATGGAGAAAACATCAAACAAACAGCTTAATTTCCCTGCAGTGTTTCCAGTGTCGCTGCCTGTAACTAATGGTGCTTAGTTATAGGCTATAATAAGTTTTCCTCATGCAGGCAAAGTCCCATTGGGCTTTTTGGGTGCTAATGTAATAGCAGCTAAGTGATTTGATCTCTTCCAAGCAGAAGACGGTATCTGTACTTACCGTCCATCACTCCTGATGCAGGCTCCCAGCAGCAGCGCTGGTCCGTGTTCCTGCTGGGGCTTCCCCCTCCTGCTTGACATCAAAACCAAAGGGAACTTCATGTATGGGAAGAGAAAGAAGCTTCTGTTCCCCTTTCACCTCCTTGGCCTGCTTTGCCCAAGCCCAGGATCCCCATCGAGCTCTTCAGACTTGCAGCATCCTTGAAGCCCCTCTTACACTTTCAACAGCCCCCACCAATGGGTCAAATCAGGGCTTTGTCTTTTAATACAGGATTCTTCTACGACTGATTTATAGTTTCTAGGAGGTTCATTGATCCTGATTTTAACCTCCCAGTGCTTGGAAACCTGACATAAATCACATTAATTGCAGAAGGGGAAAAAACAAGTTTATTTGACATAACTCAGGCTGCGGCATTCCTTCAGGAGAACCTCAGGATCATTATATCAATTAAATCAGTGTATGTATTAAACCAGAGCAGGCTCCTTTTCTGCTTGCTGGCTGCACAGTTTTGATCCGATATTCTGGGTTCTGGAATGAAAATAAGCAGTTTCCAGTTTCCTGAGTCCAAAACCTTTCATCCATCCCCCTGCCAACATGCCTGCTGTGGCTGAGCATCACTGGTGGCTTTTTGGTGCTTTAGGCATGGGAAGATCTGAGAAGTTGCTTCTGGTGTGCCTAAATTTCTGAGACAAAACCTCTGCATCGCTTGGGCAAAGCCAAATGGTTCCCTGCAATGTTTCCTGAAGGGCATTCCCAAGACTGCTGTCCTAAACCACACATAATTCTTACTTGTGAATCTCTGCCAACTGCAAACAAGTTGCTTGCACACCTAAATCCCATTCCCAAGCTTGGGAGGGCACCACTGCCTTGGGCTAGTGCCAGTCTGGCCTGGAAGAGCATCCTTGAGGAGGTGTCTGAGGTGGGTAAGAAAGCTTCAAACCAGAAGCAGCTTTCCCCAAGCCCCATCCCTAACTTTGTATTGAAAAGGGCTGATTTTGCTGCTGGCAGCAGGAGCATTCTTACACCCAAAGAAAGAGGCAGAGTGAGCTCCTAAGCAGTCCTACAGTGAAGATCTTGTATGGTAAGAATGTGGGAGAGAGGCAGGCACTTGTGTCAGATGGAAGGTGTCTGATGGTGACCTTTAGAAACAGGTATTTATAGAGGGGTTACTTTTGCCTGTTGCACCCGTGTCTGTGCCTTTGTTTCCCCTCTCTGGATCTGCTCCTGCCTTTCCTGCTGGTTTAAAATAAAGGTATAATCCAGTTACAATCCTCCCTTACGGCCATTAAGCACTCCTCTGAGAAAGGCTATTATCTCTGCTTGGCTGGCAGAGGATTCCGAGCCACCTAAGGCTTTAACTCCTGCTTGGCTGTGCAGCACAGCATCCCACTCACCAGGCTGCTAGGGGTGGGGGAAACTTGGCACTGCTGCCTTTCCATGCAGCCAAGAACTGGGAGACCTCAGGGATCTATCCTGTTCCCTTTTCCAGGCTTTGTCCCATTGCTGCTGGGAGCGGAGGGGCTGCAAACCTGCAGTGCTCCAGGGACAATGCTCCACATTGGGAAGTAAAAATGTAGCTTTCTCCTGCATAATCAAATCCAACCGAGTACAAATAGGACACAACCAAGTGAGGGAACCAGTTATTCCACCACCGTGGGCCCATGGGATGAATCAGTTCCTTCCACTCAGCATCAGTGGCTACTGGGATATTTTGGACCAGCTTTGAACCCATGGATGCTGACAGAGGAAACTACCTGAGGTTTAGAAAGCCAGAGCCCCTCCAGCTTTCTTGGAGGGATGCGAGCCTGAAAACAGGCTTTTCCCACAAGCACATCCCAACCTGCCTCGGGGGAAATGGCATTATGATCCTTATTGTTTCCTTTGCTGGACCATTCCTGATCATTGTTATTTGGGCCACACTCACCAGGTTTTAAATGATTCCGTCTCAAGTAGCTGCTGGCATTTGTTACATGTCATTTGATGTTCCTGGTAATTAATTGGCATTTAATTAATTAAGGGATAATGGCATTCAATTAAGGGATGCTTGTGGAACACTGTCACTGGGTAATTAATGGCTTCCTGCTGCTCGAGCAAAGCCGAGGCATTTGTGGAAAATAAATAGAAGGGAGAAGCTGAGATGTTTATTCCCTTGGCAGGAGACAGCGTTGGCTGTGTCCCGGTGACCTCTGCTTCTCCTGAGCCTCCACTGACACACGCTCAGGGCTGCACGACCTTGCAGCACCAGGTACCCATCCACAGCCCTTCGGATGGCAGCAAACACCATGTGCAGTCGCTGGCAAGAATCAGTGCACAGACAGCGAGCACCTGATGTTTCCAGCATCACACAGCAGGTCAATGGCAGGAACAAGACCTGATTTAATCACAGGTTAGGGGTGGAAAGGACCTTAAGATCATCCGGTTCCAACCCCCCTGACATGGGCAGGGACACCTCGCACTAAACCAGGGCACTCAAGGCTCTGTCCAACCTGGCCCTGAACACCACCAGGGATGGAGCATTCACAGCCTCCCTGGGCAACCCATTCCAGTGCCTCAGCACCCTCACAGTAAAGAACTTCTTCCTTATATCCAATCTAAACTTCCCCTGTTTAAGTTTTAACCCATTCCCCTTGTCCTGTCACTACAGCCCCTGATGAAGAGTCCCTCCCCAGCATCCTTGTAACCCCCTTCACATCCTGTGCCCAGGGCTCTGCTCAGGGTGAGTCTGGCTCTGCACCTGGCATGTGTGAACTTGAGATTGCTCTCACTGATGCCAAAGGATCAAAGTACCTGGGGTAAAATGGGCCTTGTGTCTATCAATCAGCACAGAAACCCCGCTGAGTTTCCTGGGACATGGAGATACATGTAAATAAATTCCCCAAACCAAACAGCACATTGCACCAGTTTGAATTAAGGACAAATATTGAAGGATAAACAGGAACAAGTCACTTGAGCAGCTGTTCCTGGCTGGCTGGAAACACTCTGTGATGCTGAATGAGCCCCGTGTGTGATGGGTATGAACATGCCAGGGTCTGAACTCCTTTGGGCCCTGTTAGCACAGCACTCCTGCTGCTCCTGAAGAGCAGAGGACCTTCCAAGAAGGGTGATAACCACATCTGCCACTGTGGCTCCTGGCTTCCCACCCATCTATTCAGCTGGTAGCCACTGGAGTTCCCAGATGCTTTTAAAACCCAATTCCCCCCAAAGGCAAAGCCCTCAGGGCTAAGGATGGAGCCTTTCCTCCCTCCCAGGGCCCAAGCAGTGCTGGTGGCTTTTGGTTGCTCTTCACCAGTCTGGCTGCTGTTGCCTGCCCAGTCACAGAGCTCATTTGTGGTGGCTGGTGCCCAGCTTAGGAGCAGTCCATTTATCTTCTCCTGTGCCAGCCGGCTTTCCCATGGGCAGATTCTGCTGCTGCTTGCGTTCACAACCAGAGCAGTGACCTGCGGGAGTGATGGTGCCATCAAAGAGCTCCAGGAAGGAGCAATGGGTGCCCACAGGGAGCTCCAGGAAGGATGCAGAAGGACCTCCAAGGGCTTTGGCTGGCAGCAAGCCTCTTCAGCTTCCCAAAAGCCAGTGCACCCCTGCCACCAAGGAATCACTTTTGGGGCAGGGTTGGTGCCTCTTGTAGCTGGAGGCAGTGTGAGAGCCTGCCTGGAGCGTGCCTTTGGGTGGGAGAAGCCGTGACCCCCCCCAAGGCACAGGTCCTGGGGAGAAGAGGCTGAGATGGGGCTGCCTCCCATTGCCCCATCTCTGCAGGGGTGGTTGGCAGCTAGAGCAAGCTGCGATGCCTCTAGAGCAGCCCTGGACAGGCCCCAGATCTGATGGGCTCTGTCTCAGCCCCATCCTGCGCAGTTTTGCTCCTATGAGCTCCATGTCTGTCCGCTGGGAGCTGGAGGTCCTGTGCAGGGGATGAGGTGGTTTTACCCCCCTTCATAAAGGCTTTTGCTGGCTGTCAGCTCTGCCTCGTGTTATCTTGCACTGCTCTGGCTCTCCATGTTCTTATAAACACTTCTCCAGTGAGGCTGCGTATAAAAGGAAGAAGAATGTGGACCCCGTCTCCCCATGTGCTCCCCGAGGAGCCAGGCAATCCAGGAACCCCAAATGCCTGAACCACTTGTACAGTTTGGAGCAGCTCAGTTCAAACATCTGCACCAAAGGGGTGAGGAATTCATTTTCAACACCAACTATAATTTATTATTTGGAACTAGGAAACGTCATTGTCATAAATATGGGAACTTCTGCTGGATGGAAGCTCTGGCTCCGAGCATTCACCATGGACCTTCCTCCTTTTTCCACACCCCTCCTCCTATGCATATGCCACGTAGGATACCACGCAACCCTCCCGATGGCCATGGTGAGGAGCACTCTGTACCCCTGTCTGATGGATGGGCTTGATGAGCACCCCACACTCCTCGTTTCGGGAGTGCAGACACCTCCTGCTGCTACCCGGGGATGCTGGTGGAGACCCTCAGCACACCAGAGGGCTCACAGCTGGTATTTCTTCAGCAGCTCGCTCTGCCACTGACGCTTCTTGTTGGGGAAGGCAACAGGGATCTTGATCTTGCGGAAGTCCTCGATGCATTTGCCCAGCTCGGTCTCCATCGCCCGCCGCTCCTCACTCACCACCACCACGGCAGGGCTGACCTCCACCCCATTCTCCTTCACTGATGCGTGGTCACTGTTTGCCCTCTGCCCCATCTGCTTCACCTCCTCCAGCTTCTTCAGGGACTTGGAGAGGTCCAGGGTGTTGGGACGGGCTGGGCTCTCCTCGGGGGCTTCTGGCCATGGCAAGGAGTCTGTGGAGCTGGGATCTCCCCCCTCTGACCTGCCTGCAAGGGTCTCATCCATGGCCGGAGCTGGGATGGACTCACCACGGCTGCTCATGCTGGAGGTTGCAAAGTCATCCCCACCGCTGGGGCTTGATGGGTCCTGCCTCATCTCGTGGCTTTGCTTCATCTCCTCTGGGTCACCATGGGCTGGGGAAGGAAAGCAGAGAGCAGTGTGAGGAGCAGGAGCATAACCAGGCCCTTGTGATGGGAGCACCTCGAGCAAGGCTGGATGCAGCCACCCTGGGGTGCAGGTAGCTGGGCTCAGTTGGGCATGGGGCAGTTAGAGCTGGAAACCTGCTGGGTGCTCTTGGTTGCCACATTGGTGAGCTCTGCCCAAAGCCTTGGGGTTGGTGTGGGTGCTCCATCAATGGTTAAGGGCTTCCTGTGGTCTGTGGCTTGGTCTGCAGTGGTGCAGAGGGATGCTGAGATCAGGAACCATCCGAACCAGAGGGGATGTGGGGAAATGGAAGAAGAACTGGCCCAGCCTCCTACAGACCTCGGGCTTGTTAACAGCAGTGATTCTGCATGGGGAATAGCCATTCCCTCTCAATTACCAGCTGCTAGGAAAATCGGTCAGGGAGAAAAGTCAATGGGAACTGCTAAGGAAGCATTAAGAGAGGCCTAAATGTGCACAGAGCAGCTTATGCACCTACAGCTGAACCCAGGGAGTGTTTGCTAACACCCGTGCTTAGCATGGACAAGAAGGTGAGAGGGATCTTGTCCATCCAACCTTTCCCACACATCCTTCCTCATCCCTGATGCCACCACCTCTGGTGCTGTCCCAACAACGACTGTCACACAGCAGGGGCAAGACCCTGCTCCGCAGCTGGGAGAGACCGGAGGCATTGTCAGATGCTGCTGGTTTAGCAGGGAGTTGGTTTGGAAGCGGTTGGTTTACGTTTGCTTCTTTGTTTTCCCTTGAAGTTCCTGTGTTTCTAAATACCTTTGGCAGAAGCACAAACCTTCCTGCTCTTTGAAAGCTCTGGGACAAGGGGTGTTCCTTGTCCTTGTTTTCATTTACATGGATGGTTTTGGGGTCACATCAAACATGCGGAGACTTTCTCCCCCTCACGATAACAAGATCTGTTTTTCTGAGCAGTGATATCAACCTAGCAGTGGTTTTCATGGCTCGCTCCCAAAGCACCTAAATGAAACCCTCTTGTTGCACAGCTTTAACCCAAGTAGTGCCTCCTGTTTGCTGCTCTGGAGGTTTTCATTCACAGCATCCATCTGCCTTTCAGTTTCCAACCCTCCACCTATACCCTGGGGCTATACATCTACCCTTGCATTAAAGATGCTCCGGATGTCACAGTAAATGTGGATTGTGAAATGCTGTTGTTTGGCTGTTTATAGGAAGTGATTGCCACCGAGATGTGAATTATCCTCCCCCTTTCCCCCTTGTAGTTTTTCACGTAGGAGTTTACACAGGGGAGCACACAGGGCTCAGCAGATTGCCTGTAGTAGCCAACATTTAGGCAGTTGATAACCACTACCCATTAATGCACATGTCCCACAATACCAGCAACCAGTGCTGCAACATCTGCCCTGGCCAGATGTGCTCCAGCCTTTGCTGTTAGAACATGAAAGGGAGTTTGAGTTCTGATCAAAAGTATAGATCTGCTATAGGAAGAGAGGCCATCCTGGTGAGACCCTCCCCTTGCTTCTCTTGGGGGAGATTTCCTTGTCCCTTTTCCCTCATGGTTTTCTCTTCTTTCCACTGCCCCATTTCCCAAGACCAAAGAGCTCTGAAAACAAAGGATTTTGTCTTACATGACCTGCTGGGATTTTGTAGAGCACATCTAATCGCAGGGGTACAAAGCATTCAGGGCATAAAGTATTCCTATTTTAAACTCCTCACCCTACACTTTGCTTCCCCTGGAAGCAGGAAATATCAAGGTGGATTTTCTTTTGCCTTGAAAACTTTCTGTAAGGACAGAGTTTTTTCCTCCTCCTTTTTCTTCCTCTTCTTGTCTTCGTTTGACATTTACTTGAGCAGCTCCATCACTGAAATCGCTAGAGATGGAATGGGGAAATGTCACCTGTCACTGAGCAGGAACCTTGAAGGCTGGATTTTCTCTGGCAAATCTCCCCAGGAAGCTACAAGGATGTATCTTTGCCCTGAATTCTTTGAGTGATGGAATAAAGTCTCCAAGTTCTTATATTGCTTTAATCACCTTATCTGCAAGCCTCACTGCTGCATCCATGAGTGGGGAGCTGAGGCACAGGGAGCATAAGCAGATGCATCCAAATTCATCCAAAGAGCCTATGGCTTAGATGGAGACTGAATTCAAATCTCTTCAGTTCTTCTCTAGCATCATTTAGACCATCCAAGGGCTGTAGCTGTTGCATTTGTTTTCCCCTCAAGCTTTCAATACATTTTACATCACATTGTTCCCATTTGAAGCACAGAGAAGTGCAGTAACTCATTAAGGTCACCAAGCTGAGAACAAAACCAGGTCTCCTGGGTCCATCTTCCATACATTCCATACCAGACCATACTGATTTCCTTGCCAAGGCTGGCTGCAACCTGCAACCTCCATAATGTTGAAGTCTCTCGGCTCTTGCTTTTTTCCATTGCCTCTGGGTCCATCTGAGACATCTGGTGGGTTTCTGAGCTTGGGGAGAGCAGCACAACAGTGTAGACCCCACTGAAGAATCGCTTGCTAGAGCACAGGTTTGCTAAGACATTATTTCTTTGCTTTGAAAGCACTTAGAAAGTGATGCTCAGGCCATTCCTGTGCCTCTCAGTGCAGTGTCCCTTGGGTCAGTGTACAGCTTGGTCCAGCTCTTGTGTAAAATCCTGCTTCTTTAGGTATGATGAGGCAGTTTAGAACATCTCTAGGTAGCTGAGGGACTTTGCATAAAGAACCTAGTGAGCCTTAATCTCTTCTCTTTGGGATTGTTCATTAATTGCCCATGACATTTACTGACTTCTGTTCTATGTCATTCACCAAGGGCAGGTTATCCCAGCCTGCTCTGCTGGCTCTCAAACCAACATCTGTAGAAGTCATTTTGCACTCACTGGGAAATGCAGAGCTCAGCAGGTTTTTACTTGCTCCCCATACGGTGCTGAAACACGTAGTTGCTCCTGGCCAGGCCTGTAATGGTTGGACCTGATGATGTTAAAGGTCTTTTCCAACCTGGTGGGTTCTATGGTTCTATCCCAGCCCATGAGAGGCACATGTGTTTCCAAACAGCAAAAGACTGGAGCAGGGGGGCAAAAGCAATGTGAATTTGCACTGGTTTTTTTTGAGGGAAGTCAGCTCCACGTTGGAATTTGCAGGATCCAACAACAGGCAGTTCCCAAGGGGTGGATGTTCCTCTTGGCCACTCTTCTTCACTGGCCTCCAGTGTACCCTATGACTGGTACAAGACACTTAGGTTGAGGAATCTGTGCTTAACCCTGTCTACGAGACCAGAGCTTTTCTGACCCCAGCTATTGGGAGGAGTGTATCTTTTCTTTCTCTGTGCTAGTGATTTTGAGAGTGTGGGCATCACTTGGCTACAGTTTGGCCTGGACCAAACCTGACACTGAATGCCCTGGCCTCAGGTGTACTTCCTTGCCATTTATCTTCCCTGTATCTTTGAACAGATAACTTCATTTTCCCCCAGTCTAAGCTTCCCTTGCATTGATGTGTCCCTCTGTGGGGCCAGCCTGTGCCCTGCAATGTGGAATATAGCTCCTAAGATGATCCCAGGACACCTTACAACTCTTCTTCCCAGTGCACCTCACAGCTACTGAGCTGGGAAAGGAGATCTGCTTCATAGTCTGCTTTTCTCATCATATTTTTCATTTGCTCAGACTTCGTGATGCTTTTGTCTGCTTCAGAGCATCAATTAAAGAGCACAAGTGCCACTTCCGATGCAGCCCCATGGTGCTGATGGATGTCGTGCTGAGTGCAATTACCAGGCTCCTGCACTGGTGAGCTGGTGCTCTGCAGGGAAGCACACACTGTCCCAACCCCTCGCTGCTGTTTGGGATACAATTTGCTTTTCCCAGAGTGTTTGAGAGGGCAGGATCAAGTGGTGGGTTTGCTCCTCTGTGTGCTTCCAGATGAAGGTGCTTGCTGTAAGGTCCTGACACACACAGGTCATTCCTGGGGCGCTTCCTCACCAAAAGGGGGATCTTCAGCTCAGACTGTGTGAGCCTCAAGGATTGTTTTTTCCTTTTCCACCATTTGCTGCAGAAACCCCAAATTCCCCAAAATAGGAAATGAAACTCCTCTTTTTTTGCATTCTGTGAGCTCACACCTGGCAGCCAAGCTACGAGCAAGAGCTGGGCATCAGAGGGGAAGACCCCCAGGGTAGAAGCAGAGTTCTGTGCCTCTGAGGCTGCTTCTATTCCATGGCTTGATTTCAACAGCTCTTTTCCTTCCAGTTTTTAAATGAAAAACCAGCAACAGCACATCGCTGGGAGTCAAACTCAGTTCTTTTGCAAGCTTATTAAACTCCTTTCCAGCCTCTTAACTTAGGGTGTTGTGGCACAAAGATGAGTGAAAACAAGAGCTGGAGGAGCCAGTTTAGTCCATGTATGTCTGTGTGTCTGGAGAAGGGAGAAAGGACCCAAACTGTTCCCTTCAACCAAAGTTTGCTTGCCCTGAATGCCCCACATTAATTCTTTGTCTAAAATGTTTCTCATTAACTCTTTCTTGAGAGCCTGATAGTGATGGGGAGCTTAGGTTGTGCCCAGAAATGAGATGCTGATGGAAAAGATTGCATATTTTATATGTGATAAAGACATTAAGAACAGTTTGGGAAGGGTATAAATGGCAGCAATAGGCTCACAAACATCACCCTTTCACCTTCAGTGGGATGAAGGTCACAACTTCATCTTTTACAAGGATGCTTAGCTTGCAGGGTCATAGTGTGTGCATGGGCAATGTGGCTGCAGGAAACAAAATACCCTCAAGAGTGGTCATCTGTATGAAATAAGTGCTTGCTGTGTGCTTGTGAATATATTCACACACTGCAGGAATAGGTGCAATGTGGAAACGAATCCATCCTGCTAACGTGTGCAGGGAGAAGTGCAGCAGCTCAGAGCTCTGTGGGGCTGTGCATATGAATGCTGTGTAATCCAGACCTCTTTTGCATGCGGATCAGTGTGTCTGTCACTCAGGAGTGACAGATGGGTATCTAACTCAAGCCACAGTTTGTTATACATGACTTCTGTCAGCACCATTTGGAGATGGTGTTGCTGCAGTTAATTCCGGACCGAGCCCCTGCCGTGATCTAAATCAGCGCTTGCCACTCTCTAAACCCCTCGGTGATCGGTGACACGATATCCATCAGCAGGCTAATTGCTGTTCCGAGTTCATCCCGTCATGGGTTTAATCTCTAACTTCCTCCTTATTTCCTCTCCAACCCAGACCTGGCAGGAGCTGGCACTGCCCCAGCAGGGCGAGCTGTCCCTGCCTGCTGAGGAAGAGGAGTGTGGCTGCTGGAGCCTGGGGCTCTCACTGCCTGCTCTCTGACTGCCTCCATCACACAGCTATGGCTGCGACTCAAATCTACCCCTGGGAAACTGTGGATGTTTCCCAAACGCATCTATTTTGTTGCTGTGTTGGAAGGATGTGAGCTCTGCTGTCAGCTTTCAACTGCGTTTCCTGCTCAGTGTGGATCTGTGCAGTTCTTTTGCCCTTAATCATAAGTGGTGGATATTTGCCCAAGTGATAATGTCACCGGTTAGTTTAGCATCTGCACTGATCTGCTTCAGTTCTGGCTGAACTCCCAGGTGAGGTGCGACAAGAAGCAGCAAATACCCCCCCCCTTCCAAGTGTCCCCCAACTCTCACTGCCCTCTCTGGCACAGGTAAGCAGAGGTTTTGTTTTCCCCTGAGGCTGGGATGTCCCAGGTCCTTGCAAAGCCCTTTCGTGCTGGAGGACCCTCTTTGGAGGAGCTGTGAGACGCCTCCCAAAGTACGTCCAGCTGAGGGGTGGTGAACGTGCATGTGATGGATAGCAGCTTCCCTGGACCACGACTCTGCATGACTGCTCCATTTGGATGTGCTTTCCAAGCGCAATGACTCCAGCTTTATGGCAGGGGTGGGAATTATAACACATTTCATTTTGGCAAAGCAGAATGAGAGGTCAAAGCCCGGTGACAGCACGGAGCCAGGCCCTTGGATGTCGTAAGCTGCAGGAACTGAAGCCAAAGGAGCCGTGCTGGCTTACATCAGCACAACATCTGGCCTAGGGGAGACATTTCAATACTGTGTGAGCCAGAAGCAGCTTTCACCAGGCACTTCTTGTGGAGCCCATCAATTTGGGTAAGACCTGGTAGGAGATAGTGATCAATACTGTGTATGGCAAAACCTTGTCAAGAGATACTGCTCTGCCAAGAGAAGCAGCTCCTGCCCAGCTTCAGCTGCATCCTGGCTTGGAAATACTTATTATCCTCACTCTAGTAACCATAAAGATGCTTCAGCGTATACTTAAAAGAAGGGTCAGTTTGCTCCTGGCAGTCACTGGCTGTACTCTTCTCAAACCATCTACTTCTATCCAGGATGAATTTGTCCCCAGCCACAGAAGGCCATCATTCGACATATCCCTAAGGTGGGATGATGGCATTCTGCTTGCATGCACAGCTTTGGGAAGATTATATAGGAAATAAAATGTGCAGATGAAAAAATGAAGCACAGAACTTGTTTGGCATTGATATTTGGAGGAGAAAAGAGATTCTTGGCTTCTTCTGGTCATTGGCTGTAACATGAAAGGACATTAAGTCTTATATGGTTAGAAGCCCCAGAAATGAATGCCTGCAGGTTGAGTTTCTGCTTCACTTGGTTCCTGTAAAGGAGCAAATGAAAGGCAGGTGAATGCAGCAAAGCAGCAGGTCCCCACTCGGGGGATTTGCATCCTCATGTCTCTCGTTAGGAAATTCCAACAAATAGGTAGTTTTACTTTCTCCAGTGTTGGGGAACAGCAGAGGGTGCCTTAGAGGCCAAGGAGGAGGCCAAGGGTGCTCATGTGTGGGTGGGACATCAGTGATCACTTGCCATCGTGGGTTTAAACTTATAACTGAATAAATAAACAGCAAGAAGGCAACAGCACAGGTACATGTGGGGAGAGGGGTGACGTGGGGGGACCACCTTGCCCAGCACTGGTGTGACTGGAGGCAGCCAGGACAGCATGTTTCTCACCTGGAAGCGCTTCTGCCATGTCTGCCTTGAGATCCAGGATGGGCTCGGATGAAGACATGGGTTTTTTGGGGCTGTGCTCTGGTTCCAAAGGCTGGGCAATGGGCAGGCTGAGCCAGGAGCTACCTAAAAGAATCAAGACCCAAAGAATTAAATCTTAGAAGGTAAGTGATGCACAGCGAGTGTGGGAAGGGGCCAGGGTGATGTGTGATGGCCACACTCCACAGAGGATAAAGCACCTCCCAGAGCTGCTCTTCATCTTCTGGGCAGGTATCTCCCAAACCCACAAGCTATCAAACGGCTGATGACAAGACTTAGACCAGAACATTGAGTTTTCACCTCTGAGAGGGTGGCTTCACGGGCTGCTTTGGGAATAAAGCCCTTTCCAAAAGCTGGACCACTGCTTGACCACTGACCCAGCAGCAATGTGGAGGTTTCTCCATGGACAAGTGCTGGGTAAACCCCTTCATGCACAAAGAGCAGTGCAGCCACTTCTGCTCTTGCAGATGGAGAAGCGTTTGACCAAGGTCACCCAGAAGTTCCCCACCTCACCATGGCGACCAAGGGGTGGAACTGGGTGCCCCAGCCTCCAAAGGACCAGTGGATGGGCAGCTTTCTATGGCCTGTGGTGGCCAGAAGCCAAGACAGGAGGGGCCTGCCCCGCAGACAACCTGACCTCCAGGATCCAGCGCTCATGGACCACATCCAGAAGCTGCATCCAGGAGAGGGCAGCAGAATGCCAGCACGCTCCGTGCCTATTGCCACCCTCATCGGCTGTGATTTCTGAGAGCTGTAAACATGGTCTTCTACTTCCTATACCAATAAACTCTGGCAGAGGCTCTGTGGTCACTGTCAGTGCAGCTATAAAGGGCTCTGATTCATGCCCCAGAGCAGCTATTTTTGCAGAGGGACTGTGCAGTCAGTCCCAAATTGAGGTCTGGAGGAGGACAGCTGAGACAAATTCAATGCCATGGGGCCCTTGCAAGCCCGTCTGGGAGCTGGGGTGAACAGGGCAGAACTCAGCCACCCATCAAACCTGTCCCCTCTCTCCTGTGGTCACAGATGCCCTTGATCACAGGGCACAGGGAGCAGCAGCCATCACCTCAATATGGGACAATGGAACATGGTTTTAAATCAAGGTCCTGGCACACAAGTAGAGGAGGAAAGAGGGTTTGATGGAATAAGAGCTGCAGCGCTGAGGCTCCATTTGAATGGCTGAGGTTCTCCAGGTACCTTCCAAACATCCCAGCATTCAGCAGCCCTTCAGCAGGGGCCAAGCCCCTGGGTTACTGCCTCCACGTGCTGCCGTGCAGCAGATGAGGGTGGCTGTGCAAGCCAGTGCTTATGAAAGATTTAAAAGGCAAGCTGTCAGCACTGCTGCTAAAGATGGGCTTTTCCTCTTATAGCTCGATCCCTCTCTAATGCTAATAGGATTGGGAGGAGGAGGAGGATCCAGCTGAGGGTGGGGGGTTTTTCCTTGCACACCTTGGGGGAACCTTTCTAGCAGCGTGTTCCAGCACCCTCCTTGGTGCTGTGGGGTTTGGGGTCAATCCCTGAGGCTCTGCAAGGGGACATGGTGCAGCCCAGGAGCAGAGGTCTGTGCTCTGGATGTCCTCCACCAGAAGAACTGCATTAATCCCCATTTGGTTCAAAATTCCAGCTGGGAATGGCTGGAGTTTCCATTTTTGCAAGGGCTTTTATGGACTCAGGAGCCTGGATTTGGACCAGGCTGGAAGAAACACAAAGAGTTTCATCCTCCTCTGCAAAGGAAGAGGCTAAAATCATAATCCAGGCCAGCGGGACTTCTTGAGCTCTGAAACTTTCCTTTTTAGTGATTCATCTGACAAAAAACCAGCTCAAAAGGTATTTTGCCATGATATAAACTGCTTGAACCTGATTTCCTCCTGAATCTGAGCAAAACTTGGTCAGTTTTAGGGTACAGTAAAGGTTAAATCTACAGTAACTGTTTCACCCCAGTGTTTCTTCCCAGTTCTACTTCCCGTTTCACTCTCTCATTCTCCCCTTTGGTTAAATTAATGAGGTTTGTGAATCATTCACATGAGTCGATGTTGAAGGACACCATGGAAATAGGTGTTCTAATTGCTGGGAGCAAGGATGAAGCAGCAAACCCCACCTTTCCTTCTCAAACAGATGGAGTGTCAGTTCGCAAGGAGACAGCAGGGTGGACAACCAGCAAACCTCCACCCCATGGCCCTGCATCAGGCGCCGGGTCCTTTAGGGGATCCCTTTGCTCTCCGCATGTCCAAAGTCATTCTGGGCACTGCTCACACCCAGACCTGCCGCTGCTGACCAGCAAGAGGTGCCACAACACCTCCATGGGGTGAAATTCCCAGCTGGGTGAGCCTGGATGAGGAATTACTGCAAGGCAGCAGCATCCAGGACTTGACTCTCTGGTAGTGGGGAGAACCAAATGCTCTTAATGCCCATGGTTCCACAGGGGTGCAGAAGCAGGACTGAACTCACACCTCGTGGCAGGTTAAAACCCAGTCTCATGATACCATACAGCAGTGTCTTCTGAGCTTTTGTGATGCAGAGTGGTCCAGGCACATGAGGGATTACATGTGTTCACAGCAATGACTTCAACACCATTAGCTCATCTTGTTCTTTAATCAATGCCATATGTGCAATGTATAGGCAGGCTGTATATCACATCCAGTTGGTGGTTTGATTGGAAGTGGCGGCCTTGAAACCATGTTAAAGGCAGTTAAAGCCATTGTAGTTCTTTTCCCTCAGGACATTGCAATTCATTTGTGCTCTTGGTCCTAATCCTGGGTTAAATCCTTCTTCGGTGATGGGCAAAACAAGAATGGAGAGGAGGGGAGAGGAGAAGGGAAAGGATGTGAGGTGTCCCTGCCCATGGCAAGGGGGATTGGAACTGGATGATCTTAAGGTCCTTTCCAACCCTCACTATGCTATGATTCTGTGATCCTATGATTCTGTGATTCTATGAGGGGGAGGAAAGGCAGGAAATGAACTCTGCGTTGGAATCAGCCAGATCAGGGCTTGAGGAGATGCAGACCCTGGCTTGTCCATCTGGCAGGACGGGGCCATGAGAGGCTCTTGGTGAAGAACCATGGATTTTCGTTGGTCACCAGCCAGTCTCCTTCAACAAGAAGGGAAATGGCTCTAGCAAAGAAAACAGAAGCTCCCCCCTGGTTTCACTGACACCATGTGAGGAGCGAGGACCCCAGAGCAGGGTCACCTCCTGGTGTCAAAAGCCTTGGGTCTGTCCCTCCCATAGCGAGAGGGTCACTGCTTCCCCCACCTCACAGGCAGGGCAACAGAGCTCAGGAGGCACCAAGACCTGGCCAGGGTTGAGAGGGACTAAAACCTCACACCCTCCCTTTTGGAGCCATACTTCCATACCGCCCCTTCCCAGAGCTGTTCCTCCTCCTCAAGGCACAGCTTCAGCCATAAACCTACAACGCCCATTCCAGCAATAAGGAGATGGAAAGGACAGCGTTGTCTTGGCTCAACATCTCCACCTATCCAGGCTCCTTGCTGCTTGTCTGACCTCCTGCTTTCTGCTAGAGCTGAGCCATGCTTTGCCCTGTTGTGTGGAAGACAGCTCCTCACCCCAGTGCTTCCTGTTCTTTGGGCTCACCAGTTCATAACAACACAACAGCTTCCTGCCCAGTGGAAGGCTCCTTCAAGAGCATCAAGGGAGCACTTGTATGGGATTCAATGATGAGAGGTGGGGAAGGTGTTCCCTAGGTCACAGTTTCCAGGAGGAACGTGCTGCTCGCAGTGATGGCTCCTTGGCAGCGCCTGCTGCTCAAGAAGGGCTCCAGCTGCCTTTCTTTACACAGGAATCTGCTTTTCTCCCAGTTTTCCAGGAGTCACGCTCAGGAAGCGGCTCCATCAGCATTTTCCATGGGGATGTGACTGCACTCGCTTCCTATCGGGATATTTTTGCCAAGCAGAAAATCCACAAAGTAATGACCTCGCAGGGAGATCGAAGGCAGGGCTGGAGAGTGCTCGGTTTGCTGACCAAGCTGGGAGTGTCAGGAAGGCAAAGGGAAAGCTGGGAATCGTTGCAGCTCTTAATGTGCTAGGAGACAGAGCAAGCTGGAATCCTTTTGTCATGCCAAACCAAGCTATTATCATTTTTTCCCCTCAATACCGAAGGGAAGAGTTGATTTTGCTTTTGGTTCAGAAAAGCAAAGGGTTTAAACTCCCCACAGCAAGAAGGCTACACAGGAAAGGCACTGCCTCTCCATACAGAGCAGGAGGTGTCCGTACATGCAGCACAGACCCACATTTCCTCCACCCAAGCAGAGCCTAAGCTCTGGGTGACAAGAAAAGGGCACATGGCCTCTTCTTATTCCTTCCACAAATTCTTGCCCTATTTTGCAGAAATTGCACCCAGTTTGAGCCACATCTGTGAGTCCTTTGGGGGTCAGGCGACACAACAACGTGCCCCGGTGTGTTCTGGGTGCAGAGCTCATCTTCCTCTTGGAGACTCACGCCAGACTTCATGGGTCCCCTCCTCTTCTGGTGTCAGTTTATGGAGCTGAGGTCTGCCAAAATCACTGCAGCTGCCTCAATTAGATGAGCTGAAGCCTGTCCCAGTACACAGAGATGCATGAGGTAGACATTTGGGTCCAGCTGAGCCCCCCAATCCTTATGTCAGGGGTCTAGCACGTATGTGCAAATAAATGCCCCTTCCCCAGCCAAAGCAGTCAGCAGCACCATGAGTATCTCTTCCCAGCAGTGAGCCACAGGGAGGTGAAGCAATTTGCAGAGAACTAAACCCATGCAGCCTGCAAAGTCTGCCTCCCTCTGCAACTCTCTCCCACTTTTTGCACCTTTTCCTACTCAAAGAGAGTTCGAGGCCAAGTTATTCCTCATTAAAAAGTCTGCCAGAGTCTAATCCAGCCCTTGGAAGCTCCCTTCAATGTTACAGCTGCAGTTTTCCCTTTTCATTTCCTTTTTGGAATGCTAAGTCCTTTGGGCAATGACTGTTTGTGGTTCTGGACTATGGCCTTTCCCGAAAGCTGAGGAATGTGCAGAATAAACCCTCCCTGTGCAGCTCTGAGCACCAACCATTTATTGATGGAACCTCTTATTAAGTGTCCCTGCTCATACATTAAAGGCCTGTATGAGAGGTGGCTATCCTTCCTTCATGCCTCCTCTTCACCCCTGATGACCTTTTGAAGGGCTTAAACCCCAGGATTTGGGAAGACTTCACAGTCCCCACTGGAATGTGTTGGTGCAGCCCCACTTTTGGCCTCAAACCCGGTTTGTCTGACAAACACAAACTGGGTTTGTGTTCAAACCCTGTTTCACTGCACCCATAGGACAGCTTATCTGACGTCGTATGAGTGCAGTGAAAGGAATGAAGCCACCGAGGAGGCTGTCATGGCCACTGAGACCGAGCAGTTTGCTCTCATGATTCCACCTAGGAATTATGACTAGCACAAAGCCAATACTGAATCTAACATCCTCCAGATGCCTCCTTGTCCAGAGAGACCTGAACCCACCTTCACCATCACCCTCACCCATCCCTGCCTTGCCCTAGGACATCCCCTGTGGTGCTTTTACCTGGAAGGCTGCAGTGCCTGGAGAGCTGCCTGGAGAGTTGGCCTCGTACAGCAGGACCTAGAAACAAAGGAGAAGGTGTGGGTCTGGCTCTCTGCCCCACCATGATGGCTTTCTGCTGACCCATCTTCATGTGAGCACACCCGTTTGGGTGGGATGCAAGGAAAGAGAAAGAGCTCTGTGGTCCCATCCCATGGTAAGTGATTTCCCTTGGACGTGCACCATGAGCCCAGCCAGGTTTTACAGTGCATGACATGTGGTCCTCGTTCAGAATGTCTCTGGTAGGTACCTGCTGCACCCTTCAGAGCATCTCACACCTTTTTGAAGTAGAGAATAAACTGACACCACCATTAATCCTGGACAAAACTTCACCATCTCAAACCCATCTCACTGTTTCAGTTAGAGATGCCCTTGCACGAGCAGAAACCAGCACATTTCTGAAAGGAACAACTTTTCAGAGGTATCCTGTAGGTGCAGGGACAAGGCAACGGGCCCATGGATCCCTTCCCATGGCATGATGAGGATCTGGGAGCAGACCAGCCCCCCTGGGTTAGGATGTGTCCCTTGGTACTCTTTGTATCTCCATCTCTCTCCTCCTGCTTGTTCCACCTGGAGGAGTGAAGGAGCTGCTCTCTTGCTCCCTGGAGGCCTGGAGGATAGACCCTGGTTCTCATCTCTGAGCTGCAGGAGGGTAAAACCAACCTGTTTTCTGCTTGCAGGGGAGGAGGGGAAGGTCTGGAGGACAACCCCAAATGCTTTCATTGTGGAATAATAGTGGGCTGAAACAAGACATCTTTTCCTCTCTGGTTTTAGCTGGTTGCTATTGAAAATCATCCCTAGAAACCCATTAATACAATGTGAAGAAACAGATTAAAAATGCCTTAATCTTGAAACAGCATTTGAAAAGGGGAAATTAGCATATTTTGTTTAAAACCAGAAGGAAATACATTTTTCACACGCCAAAAAATGGGGGTTTTCAGCACTATTTCCTGTACTTTCTGATGAATTTGCAACTAATCTGAATGAACCCCAAACCTGCATTTTCCAGCCTGTTTGCAAAGATACGTTAAAGAACTGTAACTGCTTCTGGACAAAGCAAGTAAATTGAAATAATAATTAAAGGCACAATTACAAAGTGCCTGTGTGCTTCTAATACAGAGGGGGAAAATCCTTTTGTCCTATAGTAAGCCAAACAAAGCAGTGGATAACGGAGAACAGTTACTACATTTTCCTGAGGTCTTTTTGATAAGGACCATCAAAGAGGCTTTTAAGGAAGCTCAATAGCCAAAGGGAGGGTGTTTAACTCTCAGAGTGTATTAAAAGCTTATTAAGATAGAGAAAGGAAGAAATGGAATCAAGAGTTCATTCTCAGTGTATAAATAATGTAATAATAGGACATCCCCAAGAGGCCGTATTGGGATGAAGGACTTTTGTTAATGATGCAAGGGGAAAAGAGCAAAGAGTCAAGTGGATAAAGTTTGCAGGGAATGGAACATAATATCAGGCTGGTGTAAGCTGCAAGGGGAGCAGGGGAAGGGACTTTAGTGAAGAGCCTGTCAGTGGGTTAAAGGAAATGGCAAGCACTGAAAAGCAATGCCCATTAGAAAATGTCACTTGAGCTTTTCATACACCTTGGTGGGTTTTAAATGTGCCCTTAGTGACTCAGGAGACAGACACAAAAGAGCAGCCCCTGTGTAATGATGGGGAGGTGAAGAAGTGCTCCTTAGCAGGCAGAGGTGACACAGGCAGGAGATTGCACTGGGTAAGGGCATAAAACCTCATAGAAAACATATACCTTTATGGAATGGGGCAGTGCTCTAGGTTCAGTCCTGGCCACTTCTCAGGACAGGCAGGTGAGATTAAAGTCTGCCCAAAGCCATTCAGTAACACTGTGAAGGGCATAAAGGGAGTTTTACAATGAAGAGGACGAGATTAGGATAGTCAGAGCTAAAGAGGAAAGAATTAGGGAAGCTGATGGGAGCATTGCCATCATCCTACAACCATGTGCTTTCTGATGGAAAGCTCCCTTTAAGGAAGTCCTCCCTCCAAAATGAGCATAGATAAGATTGAAGATGATAAGAGACAGAAACCACAATGCTGCAGTGTATTGGGCATCACTGATGAGCAACGAGAAATTCTCCTGGAGAGGGGCTAATGCAAACCAGACGAGGGGTTTCTTCCTCCTTGGTCTGAAATCTCTGCCAGGCACTGTTAAAGGCAGGACACGGAGCTGAACACATGCTCTGCCCATTCCTGCCTGATAAATCATCCCCTGATCTTGTTATCTAATGTAATAGTTTTCATTTTCAGTCCACACATGGGTCATTTCTAGATGGGGCAGGGCTCTTAATCCCCCTTGATTTATTCATTATTAAAGCACTTTCCAGTTCTCCTTTAACATCATTCAGGTCTGATTTGATTACAGAATGTGTTCAGTGCTGAGTTCCTGTTTCTGAGAAGGAAGCGATATTAGATGATGGTGGCAGAAACCGGAGGGATATGGGAAGGAGGAGATGCCTGGAGAAGAGACAGGGAAGGTGATGGGTGGAAAGGCTCCAGTATCAGCATCACCATGAGTGGCCCAACCCTGCAGTCCAGCCTCTCCTGTTTCAACCCTTCCTCACCTTTACCAGAAGCAGGGGCAAGGTTGGGATGGTTTTTACCCCTGTTTTGTGGAAGAATTAATCAGAAAATTGCAGCTTCCCCTCCAGGCTTTAAGGTTGGAGCTAAATCCCTTTAAATCAGAGTTGCTGAGCTCCCATCCACCAATTATTTAAATGATGGCTTGATTTTTTATTTTGTTTGATTCTAGTCTTCAAAAGAAAAAAAAAAAGCCCTGGATTTTGGTGCAGATCAGATGTAAAATGGCATGAAACATAAATCACAGCTTTGCTGGATTACGTCTTGCCAGCTACACAGGTAGGTGAGGGCAGGCAGTGTCCTGCGTGCAGGGAAAAGCCTCGTAAATACATCAGGGATTGCCTGGAGGAAAGGCAAGGGAAGGAAAACAAGCCTGTCACTATCTCTTCCATGTTAAAACTCACATCAAGACTCATTTCAGTCATGTTGTGGCAGGTGAAGGGCAAAAAGATAGTGCTGGCCATAGAAGGGTACCTTCAGGTGGCCTGTTTTGGTGGGCCTATGGTGAGCCATAGCTTCTCAGGCATCAGAAGCATCATTTGGATGCTTACAGTTGTGTGCTTGAGTCCTCTTCCCTCTCTTATATGGCAAGGTGTTAAATTTAGGTGCTGTGCATGTGCCTCCCCCCAGCTCATTTCCTTCAGGAAGCCAAAAGAGATGCCAGTTCAGATAAAGCAGAGGTGTGATCTGAGGAGAGGACCTCCTATGCAGCAGCAGCAGGGGGTTGTGCAGGTAGGTGCTGGCAGAGAAGAGGAAGAGGAAGCAATGTAAACCAGCAAGATCAGAGATAAGGCTGAGGTGGAAATGTGGGAGCAGCAGCCCCTCCTGGGTCCCACTTGCAGCACCAGAGTGGTCTAACCCAGCAGCGTGGTGGATGCTGGCAGAGAACATCCCTAAGTGCACCCATCAGCACTTGGTCTGGTGGGAAAGCATTTAAACTGCTGGACCTATTGCTTCTCCTCTGTCAGGACTTACACACAGCAGGACATTTATTCCAGGCTGGATTCAGTGACATCCTCTGTTAAAATACTGGAGGTGCTTCTTGCCTTGGGATAAAAAGGTCTGGTCCCTAGTTTTATGGCCCAGCATTTCGGGGGTCTGCCCAGGCAGTGGGAGTGGATGGATGGATGGATGGATGTATTAATCCTCCCTTTCTCAGCTCATAAACACAGGATCCCAGACGATCACCTCTGGTGGATGTTTGTCTAAGCTTAAATCATCCAGGGAGGAGGTACCAGTCCTCCCTAGAGACCTGCCCCACTGGTGCTGCACGTTACCAGTGTAGCTGAGAGAAAGCTTTTAGTAATGTCCAACCCAAAGCTTCCTTATAGTGAATTTGCTTTTATTCTGATCCTTTCTCCAGCAACCTTCCAGTACCATCGATTAACATTTCATATTCAAATGGTATTTTACAATTAAACTTTGCCTGATGATGGCCTGTTTGCACACCTTCTGCATCTCAGACTAAACCAACCCTGCTTCTTCAACATTTCCTGATAAGCTGTGGTTACTGAACCTCATCTTACTATTCATGCTTCTCCTCTGGACTCCCTCCAGCTCATCAACATCTTTCTTAACCTGTCATCCCAAAGCAGGCAGGGTGTTCCAGTCCCAGCATCAGGAGGAGAACTACATACCCCCATGTCAGGTCTCCCATGACCCAGGCTCCTGCAATCACATCCTTACCTAACACACATCTTTGTGTGCAAGGACTCCCACTCTTTTGAACTTGTGCTCTTGAACCTCCCAGCTCAGAGCCACTGCCAAACCCAGGACAGCCACTGAAATACAAGGCTTAAATCCATGCAGGGGATGCTAAGCAGAGGGGACAGCCCCTCTGTCATGCATAGGTCAGTGCTTACAGATGATGATGAGGGTTTTGGGGGGGGCTGAGAATCCAGGACAATCTGGGACAACGTGAGGTTCACCCATGTGTTTTACATGGGTGCTTTCTCCCATCAGCAGAGCAGTAATGGGAGTATCGACTACAGCCGCCCTGCAGAGCCACTCACTGTGCTTCCCTGCTCCAGCAGTGAGCTGCTGATAACAGCTCCAAGAGCAATTTAAGAGCTGGCTGAGCATCTGCTTTCCCCTGAGTTCATCTCAGTGATGTTTCTCAGCTCAGGAGATGATCTGTGTGTTGTTCCCACCCTGCCTGCCCAGCCCAGTCAGCTGCAGCCCCTTAGCAGGGCCTGTTTTGGGGCAGGAAACCTCAGAACAGCAGAGAGGCTGCTGGGGAGAAGTGATGAAAAGTGTTTGCTCAGGGAATATTTGTGTCAGTAAGGCTGGGGTCAGGCTCTTGGGCTCGAGTTAGCAGCTTGGGGTTTTATCCAGCTGTTTTGCTGCTCGGGAGGTTCCCAGCTTGATGTCGTGGCTGAAATGCCATTGGTGGGGATGGAAACGTTTTCAACTGCACCCTTGGGATACCCATGGTGAGGGGGAGAATGGAGCAGTGCAGAAACAAGGCAAACA